TTACTCCCAAAGTAATGAAGAGTTCTGTAAAAATATTATTTAAAAAATTTTGCAATATATAAAACTATACAGATTTTCCGTTTATTAAAATTAATATTTTTTCTATTAATCAATTAAATAAAAAAATGTTTCGAATAGCGATAATTATTTTGTCAACTGATAAATAATGATTGACAAAATTAACTATTATTTCGTTAATTTTTGTAATGAAACTGGAACGAGTAAAAAAACCTATACAGCTGTCTGTCACATGTAAATATATATATATAATTTTTTCCAAATTGTTTTTTATGTTTTAAAATTTATATTTGAAAAGCGACATATAATGTAAGAGCATTAGTATTTTAAAGTAAAATAGCATGTCATAAAATTGTTTGTATTTTGGTAGTTAGTATAGAATAAAAACGATACCTTCAAAATTTAGAATCATAATATCTTCATCGATTCTTTTAAGTGATCATTATAATTCCATATTTAATAATTATCTTTTTAATATTATTGATATCTTGATATCAGATAATATTTTCATGCCAGTTATCAAGTTCAATAAACAAATAAAATGATAATTCCACTAGTATAAGATACGTTTTATCAATTGATATCTTATATTTATACGTTCAAATTGTATAATTCTTAATATCATATGACATCTCTATAATTATCTCAAGATAATTAACAAAACATAGGAATATTTAGATACATACCTGTATACGGATATGTTGGATTCTTCATAGTTCTAAAATTACAAGTGTTATTTTGTACCGCCAATTCGTATAAACCATATTGCCCTAAGTGCGGCGTCAGTTCGCAAACAATATTGCTAAAAGATAAGATTTGAAAAACATTAATTAAAATAAGATAAAATAATGCGTTGGCAGAATAAACAATATTATACATAATAACAGCAGTATTTGTAAAACAGCTTAAATACAAGATTTTAATTCATAATAATTGGAGTACGTTGCATAAACAGCTTTTTTTAAATTATTATTTTTTCTTAACATTGATTTATTTTATTATGTGTAACTTATAATATAAATTTTGTTATGTATTTACTGTGTATAACAGTATTAATGTGAACTCATTGAAAATTCAATATTTTACGAGTTATTTCGTCTTTTCTCATGAAAATATATTCATATATGTCAATAAAATATAAAATATTTCCTAAGCTATTATAAGACATTTTTTACAATTGAATTGAAATATTTTTACACGTGGAACAATTAGAAAAATCAAAATACGAAAAAATTATGACGTTACATTTAAAAAAATGCTAATAATAGCATCAATTGAAATCATAAAAATTGCATTTCTAAAAAATTTGGTGCATATTTCGTTTTTAAAACTGAACCATCTACAACTTTTTTCTTTTAAATGAAAAATAACTATAAATTTTTATTTGGAGTTATAATATGTTAAAGTTAAAATGGCACGTGGACATATTTATATGTGTACATCTTGGTAAAATATTATCATGTAATATATATTTTTTATATTAGCAAAATAGGAATTTTAGTCTTATAGGAATTTTTTTTCTTTGAAATTTATAAAAATTTCTGAGCAACACTCTTTAAACTTTTTTAAATTTTATAAGTTCCTTTTAAAATTTTTATACAAAAATTAAAAAATTTTTTTAAATTATAAAATTATTGTAAAATTGTAAAACTTCTGAAAAATTATATAAAGAATTCTAAGAAAAATTCTCATCAGAGATGCATATGTGTATGTATATATGTCTTTTATTAATAAAATTTATTCGGAAAAAAACGCAGTATGTATGAAATAATAAATAGTTGATTTAAATAATTAAAACAAATAACTAAATAAATAATTAACTTGAATAAGTTTACCTTGTAATTTTGGAAGATACATATTCCTCACTTCCATTATTGTTTAATATTCTCCACTTTAATGTTTCGATCGTACTGAATTTTAGGCTATTGATATTGTTTGAAATCTGCGCTATTCGTTTATATGGACACTAAAAAAAAATATATAACGAAAAGTTAAAAATATATTAGTTATGCACCTACAAACTTATATACTGTTCAAAAAGATTTTGCGTTACATATATATATACGAAATCTATTTAAAAATTATTTATCAATTAGTCTACTCTGCTTTTTCTTTGAAAATTTTATTTTAGAATAATATTCTGATCAAAGTCTACATTGCTGAAGTCAATTGAATTCTATGAAATTTTTCAGTATATCACGAATCGTAATTTATTAATAACTGCTTAAATTTTTCTTTTACTGCCTAATTTTATTACTGTCATAATAATACCATTATTTACTATATTAGATAAATTGTATTTTAAAAACTATACATATAAAATATCATAATTGTACTTACTGATAAACAATTCATAGAGAGCGAATACAGCCATTTGTTAAAGTTTCCATTGTCAGATATCACGTTTACGCAGGCTTCGTCAAACTTTAAACGATCGTAAGAGCAATTTAAGTTGTTCATTATTAGTATCTTTATTAAAATAAGACTATATTTAAATTGTAATAAGATGCGTATTCTTAATTGATAGAATATACGTTTAAGCGATTGACATATGTGATATCAAAATCCCTCGTGTGACATCTGTTTCCTTCATAATATGAATGACTTCAAATTAATAAATATTACACTGTTGAAAATCTTACGATCGTATTTTTCCTTATATTTATTGATGAGGCTTAAGTTTACACAATGATAGTAGCGAGTAGCGACGCCTGACTGAGGTAACAAAGTGACTTTTCTTAATAACATCGCAAAATATCAGAACTGCGATTATATCAAGTGCTAAACATGAACGACTGAAGAGTGAAAGTGAAGACCTACATTAATCACTAACACTGTTGCATATGAGCGTATCCTTTCAGCAAAAGTAAGAAAATATATTGAGGACAAATCAGTTATAAAATAATTACAGAATATACGTTCCCTTAATTCGTCCATTTATTTTAGAGACAGCTTGTACAATATATTGCATGTTTACCAAATTTTTTTAATATTAAAAGATATTAAAATTATGTTAGTTTAGATATTTATGCAAATTGTTATGGAGAATTAAATCAATTTCTGTTCTCGCATATGTGTGTGTGCGCGCGCACACATGTACAATCATTTTTAAAGAATTTAATCTTTTAAATGTAATTATTTGATATATAAATCTTGCATCCTAACGATGCTTTCCTAACGATTTCTTGCATCCTATGCCATATTGCGTTTTGTGTATATAATACATAAATAAAACCAAAATGATTGAAACACAAATACAACGTAATTATTAGAAAATTTCTTTTTAGGTATAATATTATTTCGACAATTTATTATCCCATCACTATAAATTATTTTCTCTTTCATCTATTTCGTTATAATAATTACAATTCATGTCACTTATATTTTTATCCATTTAATTTATAGTTAGAAACAAAGATTCAACTTTTCGTAAATACAATGTCTTAATCACTCTGTTGTCGTCGTCACATTGCCATAAAAATACTAGTGACGTACTAATAAATCATTAGTTGTCGTCATGTTGCCGTCACATTGCTGGTAACACACCACTAATATTTCTAACTGCTTGCTTTTAAAATCAACTAAATATTTGTATAATCATTCATATTGCTTAGTACGAAGAGATACTTGATATGATGACGGCAACCAGACAATAACTATTCAACAACTCAGTGAATTAGTTTGCTCGATGTGATTAATTATGCTTGGTTATCTGGAATCTTAAATGATATTAATATATAATATTTAATTCTGATATTATTAACAAAACTAATACAAATATTAATTGACATATAAGTTTATAGTTTAATATATTTTATTAACGTAATAACATTAATGATCTAAAGTATAAAGTAATACAATTTTATAGATACTTTATGTGTTTTTCTGTACGCCTGAAAGATGTAACATAGCTATATTTCTTCGTACGTATCGATATCTATGGAAATGATCAATTGTGTTCTTTCAAATCTGTTTGCCAGTCTGTGTATACATGTCTGTTTAAAGTGAAACAAGTTTAAAATAAATATTGACGAAAAGTACATATGTATTCATTCCAAAGTTTTCAAGTTTTTAAAATTCTATTTTGATAAATGAAAACTTAATTACCAAACGTAATCTATTCTATCAAAAGTTGTGAATAATGCTACATTAACAGTCGTTTTAACGATTTTTTAAACGATTATTTACATAAAATAAAAAAAGTATAAACAAAACATTAACTTTGGTGATCATAATTTACTGTAATATATATAATTTATTTTATGACATTACTTCTCTCTCTCTCTCTCTCTCTCTCTCTCTCTCATAAAATACATAACTATAATTTATTTTTTCTTTCGAGAGAAAATAGTTATATATTATTATGTTTGTTGAGAAAAGAATACATTTGTACTTTTCAATCTCTCTTCCAAATTTACAAACATATTACCTCTCCCCTTCACACAACACACATACATACGTATGCGCGCGCGTGTAATATACATACATATATATGATGGTCCACTTGGGCACTTTGCATATCTTTATTATTTTAAATAAGAAAAAATTGAAAAGTTTTATAGTGTCAAGGCACTCGTAATAGCAATACTTTTAATATACACAGAGATAGGAGATGACCATTGATTTTTTGATACCTTATATTTTTTTATCTTAATATTTTTATATGTAGAATGTTTGCGTTAACCATATTATCATGAACAACGAAAGTATTACCATTATATTTGCCAATTTACAACCATAAAATTTTATAGCTTTTCAATCTTTTTTTATTTAAAATAGTAAATATAAAACATTTGTGTGTGTGTGTGTGTGTATGAGTGTTGTCTGTGTAACACTTAATGCAAGTTTGGATGCACACAAAAATACAATGATCGAGTACAAAGCCTTGCTTGAATTTTTTTAGGCAATGAGATAACAAATCATCGATGCGAAAGAGCCAGAGTTCGAATACAAGTTCTAGCTGTGAGTACTTAAAAAATTATTTATTGACTAAGAAGTGTTCTTATTTCTTTGTGCATGTAACATAGGAAGTCAACGTAGCTAGGACTTCCATCAATTCCCCTATCTTCAACCAAGAAATGGCGTAGAACCATTTCCAATTTTTCATGTTGTCTCACTATCGTTAACTGTAACAAAGAAATAGAATTATATCATGATCTAGTATAATCTATTTATGCATTATATTAAATAAGTTACTTACTTTTACACAATGATGTCTTTCGGCGCGTATTCGATTGATAATATTCGTGATTCTATTATTTAAAGGAGTGTCTAAGATCGGCAGCGCACGATCTGTATCAACTTGGACCACCGAAGGTACTCCAAAGACACTCTGTACCCATTGAGAAGAAAGTGCCATACCCAACCATAAGAACATATGGATGGTGTTTTCTGCAAAATAAAACGTAAAACATATAAAATAATACTAATATTATTTTTCATATTTCAAAAATAAAGATGTAGCAATCACAAGTTTTTGAAATGTTAGAGTTGTTCGTAGTACGGTATAATAGCGTTTTAAAAATCGGAATTGCATATTGAGTATAACAAGATACTGTTGAAAATAATTATATTCTTTTTTTTATTTAAAAATAGAGATTGATTCTGTTAAATTATGTTATTTATAATTTTATATTGTTTAAAAAATCAATATTTTTTATTAAGTATGTATGTCAATATTCTATGTAATTTTAATATTACCAAGTAAATAGGCGCCATCATCTGTAAATTTATCGACAGAGCAACGTAACATTGGCGGCAGTTCCGTATCTTGAGGATCAATGTTATGTAAAGGAAATAATCTAGGATAAGTATATGCAACTGATAGAGGAACAGGCATTGTTGTAACTGCTTGCATTATATAAGATTTATCATCAATGGCCATATCAGCTCCTAAAATGAAAATAAATAAATAAATAAATACAATGATAAATAAATATATTAGCTGAATATATTCATATAGAGTATATTTTTACCTCCTGATAATGCATCGCTTTTCAGTAAACAGTTTACATAAAGTGGAAGTAATTTCATACATTCTGGCAAGATTAATTGCCCAGCACTGGATGGTGTTGCACAATGCTTTCGATATACAGCCAGTATGTTTGCGCATCGTGCAATCAAGTTATCTTTCACCGTTTTTGGAGTAGATTCCAGTAATTTAAAAACGCCTAATAAAAAGTAATCACGATCACATGTTATTATTTAAATAAGTATTATTTTTGTAATCTCATGACACTCTTAATTTTCTTACTTTGTTTAGAAAAGTAATTTATTATGGCATCCAAATCGCATGCGCGATACAAATCGACCATTTGCGATGAGGTTTTCAAACTCAAGTTCATGATTCGCAATCTTCTTATACCACCGCAGGAAGTATACAGCAAAGCCACTTGAACGTACACACCTTCTTCTTCCGTTAATTTGTCGTCGTGTTTAATTTCTATTCCAATAGCCTTAAAAATAAAAATATTAAAAAGATGAAGTAATTAAGTAAAATGAAATTAAAACAGATAAATATTAACAAATAACTATTTATTCTATACTGTTGTAGCGCACAATGTAATTCTATTATATTATATAATAGAATTACGGTAATTAACTAATTATGAGATAACTAATGTACCTTATCGCAGTCTATACTGCCTAATTCCATGTCCGTTGTATTAGACATAAAGTAATGTCCATAGAAATCGATTGCTCTAACACCTGTTGATGTACGTACTCGCATCATAGCATCAAAAGCAATTGGTCTACTAATGTTATTAATAATATCTAAAATTAATCTTTCACCATCGATATCAGCCTGCAATAAAAATCCATAGACTATATTTCTGAATATTTTGTTTCATAAAGTAAAGCACATTAAAAATATATTTTACATAGAATCTTCTAGTAAATTTGATAAATATTTATATACATTTTTATTGTACTATAGCTCACCTGAAAATAAGTGTATTTATAAATCTCTCCTCCAGTAAGACGACAAATTTGACCAATTGTTGCTATATCTACATATGAATTGTTAAAGATGAATAAATCTACACTACAACCTGCACCGACACATTCCTGACCCAAATTATTATAGACATTGTTCTGCGGAGCTATGAAAAATAAAATAGTTTTATAAAAGTTACAAATTATTATTACTTTGAATACTGTAAAATACATACTTAATACCGTTTTTTCTTTATCTGTTCCAAGTACTTTACGATCGTCACGGTTTTTCAGTTTCCCAGGTGCTTCGGCAATTGGTAAAGATGAATGGAATATTAATAATTTGCCTGCACGTTCCGATGCCTGGAATTATAATTATGTATGTTTTATGATAATAATCAACATAAACAAAATTATGTATATCTTCACTGAACGGATTTATTAACTTATATTTAATCACTAACGAGAAAAATTTATCTACATACTTTTTGTCTAATTTTCTTTCTACATTATATATATAACTGTGTTGTTTATTTACCTTTAATGCTTCTAGTCCAGCTTGTATGGCAGGAGCAAGAATCGTTTCTGTCTCTCGAGTGTCTGCGAACATTTGAGGAATCTGTGTCATAAGGCTGTCGATAACTGCCTCACTCTCCTCGATGTCGCATAAAAATCCATCTAACAGTGGCATAAATACATCTTGAATATCTCCAACAACCATCATTTGTGGTTGAGCAAGACAAGGATTGATGTTATAAAAATGCACAGTATTATTATATGTTATAAAGCCAACTTTCATGTTGCTTTTGGTTTGTTCATCATCAATAGGTAGATTTTTTATTATAGATTTCATCTTTGTACATAATAAGTTCACTAATCCCGATTTAATTGTATTGTACGATACATCAATTATGAACACAATGGCTGGTGATTTTGGAAAAATGTTGTCCTGCAAAAAGAATAAACGTGTGGAAATCAACATTAATAAATTATATACACATAAATTTATAATTTTAACGATTTAGATAAATAATTTCAATTATTATTTTGTTTTCTAACTTTCTAAAACATTAAATTTAATTATTTACTAATACATTGCTGTAAAATTTGAAAATTTATTGAAATTTTATTGAATGATCTATGTAAATGATTAAATATATTGAGTTAATTTACCCTGCAATAATCTTTTGTGGCTATATATTCAAATGTACCCAACGTTAATTCAGGTCTCTCATAACGATCCAAGCGTTGACCTGTGTGGTCTAAGTGTTGGAAATATTCATTTGGTACTAAACATAGAAATAAATATAGATATAAATATTTAATGCAAAAACTGTGAATACTTACAAAATAATTCTTAATTAATTGTTACCTTCTGTAGTTGCTTTACAAAACATGCATTGAAATCTTCGACCAGCATCAATAAATTGCATAAATGGACACATGTAAGCTTTACAACGTACGCAACGTACTGGTCCAATTTCACCCATATCTACAATTGGTGGTTCAAATTCTCCTTTCACAATCCGAGCCATTGGACTTATCACAAGTCCAAAAGGAATATTAGTCTGTGTAAGATACAAATGTATCAAAAAAATGCGAAACAAAATAACTAAATAACAAACTGACTCTTTCACTCTATTCCAATATACCTGCTTTATAAGATCAGCAGTAGTGGGTACATTATACATAGTGGATCTGATGTATCTGGGAGAAGTATTTCCTTGATCTTGAGTTACAAAATCTGTTGTCACTAAAGGTGGTGCCAGACCTTTCTGATTCGTTATAAATACTCCACGTCTCATACTTTGATCATCTTGTATTACTTGAATCTGGATTGAAGACAGTTTGATTTGAGATAATAAATAATATTAGCATATATAAAATAAGTTGAAAAAATTAAATTCATACTGGGCTCGGCATTTGTTCTGGATCAAGCCGTCTAGTTGGTTGAGATTGCAATCCTGATTGATATCCTGTAGCATTCGGTGTACTTTGATATAGATTTCTTTGATTACTATACATATCCTGCGAAAGAAAAATAGTTGTCATTCTTTTCTCTGTAAAAATTCTTAATTAACTCTTAAAATAGGAAATTTTTTTAATATATACCATTTGGTTAGGATATCCTGATTGCTGATACGTTGGTTGTTGAAAGCCTGAAGTGATACCTGGTGATGCACGATTCATTCCTAAAGGACTGGATAAATTTTGCCCTGGTAATGGAGGCATAGTAGAGCCATATTGTCTTTGTCCAGACTGCATTAAACCTGATCCTACAGGATTCGCTGTAGTTTGACTCGGCATTGGAGGCATAGTTGGTAAATATTGCTTTTGTCGAGCTTGAGAATAGTTGGATCCTGGAGGACTTGTTATAGAATGTCCTGTTGTCGAAAAAGAAGGAGCAAATTGTGATGAATCAGATGCTGAATCTGTTGGAGGTGCTACAGCTTGTGGTGGTAATGGTGGTGGTAATGGTGGCGCAGAATTATATGGTGCTGTTCCAGACTGATATAGGCTAGTGTTTGGGAAATTAGTTCCATAAGCTTGATAACCCATAGAAGCTTGCCCATGTCCAAGAGGAGGTCCTGTAGATAAACGTGAAGGTATTTGAGGACCAGGAACACCTGTCACCGGAGGACTCATTATTTGAGAGCGATCCCCAGGTGGTGTCGACAGTGACAACGGAGAATGCATTTGTGAATTCAATAAATTCTGTTCTCCAACAATCGGTTGCTTTAAAAAATTTTGTTGATTGTTTATTGGAGGCACAGACGCAGCGTATGGATGCTGCCTTCCTACTTCTGGAATATGCTGCATCTGTCGTAACAAAATTTATTACAGATATAAACTCTAAGTATATTGAAAATGTACTAATTATGATATGTTATGAAATAGATATCTCATTTATATAAGAATACAAAGAAACTTAGAAAAAAAAATATCAATATAATACTACAACAGTTTTATTATTATTTATAATTGTTTTAATGTACATATATAAAATATATGTAACATAGACAAACTGAAATAAATAAAATAAAATAAAAATTTAACATGTCTGAAAAGTGAAAGGTAACCTACATGAACAAAAGTGTCACATTTGTTTTATAATATAGGTATAAAATGTGAACATGTTCTATGCATATCCGTAACGTAAGCTCCCATTTAAATGAAACGTAAAGTATAAAAAGACATTAAATAATAGCGACTAGAAATAAATAAATGCATATGCGACGTTTTAAACCCCAAAATTATTACATGTGGAAACACCAATAAACTTTGTATACAATTATCTTAAATATATGATATACGTACGTTATATCGTAAAATATGTTTTAAACTGAATCATAACAATTCTAATATCTCGGAAAATGTTTATACACGAAATGTACAAGAAATGTACGTGAGTATAACTTGATGTAATTGTCCACTGGATATGACTGCTACCGATGCCACGTAAGGCGGCATTGCGCATGCGTCCAATACACGCTGACAAGACACGTCATGCTACAATTTAGACCACTAAAATTTGATACGAAAAAAATTAAGCACGCGATATATTTAACGTGTGAATAATAGTATAATTTTTTTCAGATTTAATAAATTATCTGTATACATGAAACATATTCGTTAAATTATAATGATTATTAATAAAGGCAAATTTAGACTGTTTCTGATGTCTAATGTAAAAATAATACGCGGGCGACATTTGAATCTCTCATAAAAGACTTTTCTGTATTCATTCAAATTTATTCTGTTTTGATTTGGATTAATTTTATGTAATTTTAACTGACTATACGATACACGATACGATTTCTCGATGCATATATCAGAGAGCTCTACATATATTCTATCTAATATTTCTAGTAATTTAGTAGAGATTTTCTTACTCGAAGTGAAAAAATATAAAATATCTCGGAACTGATACTTAAAACTTATCTTTAATATAAATCCGATAGATTTTAAAAACACATTAATTTCTGTCACAGATAATTATAATTTCAAATCTTAATATATTTTTGATTATTTATATCTTTATTAAATATTGATGCTGAATATAATTTAAAATTAGATATCCTTTTACTTAACAAAGAAATAAAAAATTGAAAAAATCACTCGATCTATATAATTTATGTAGCGAGATCAAATCACGTATAAGAAAATGTTTCCATAAACATATAATATTGCAATGTATAAAGAATACAAATAAACGCGATATTTCATCATTTATTATGCAAAAATTATTTTATCAAGAATAAAATATTAGTGAAATTTGAAAGAAACTTAAATTATTTAAATTAAATATGTATAATAGATAATAGCATAAATAATTATTACAATAGAATTTATTTTTCATATATATATATATAACGAATATATATTTATATGTACATAATACATAATAAATTCTATCATACTTATTCAATAGAACTTATTTAGTACTCACACGCATACATACATATTATTACCACATCCATGCACGCGTGCACACATTTGTGTCTATATTTTTTTGTGTAATTACATTCACAATTCATTATTATAATACATTGCACGATATCCACAATCAGTACAATTGAAGGCATAATCGGTTCCTTATCGAAAAATAAACCGTCAGAGAAATCCGTATTGTAATATATAAAAATAAATTTTTGCTTATATGTACATACATATATATATATATATCGGAAGATAAACGCATCATGTGATGTGAGTATACACTCAAAGCGTATATGGATATTCCTTGATATAATTTTTAATTAATAGTGGTAAACAGTCAATAGGCAACTTGTTTCGATTCACGGAGAGTCTGGCCAAATGCGACAGTGATCTAACTTCTTTGACAAGAGGACTGGTCAAATAGATCTGACTATACAGTTGTCCACTGTAGTCGACCCACACTTCCCTGCGATGCTCATCCATCCTCTTTGAATACGCGACATAGTACTCCAACATTTTAATAGGACAATCAAAAAATGGCATCGCCAATGCTAATTTAGGGTCGGTAGTTTCAAGTCGAAAATGTTCAAGGAAATAGTGTACTCTAATAGAAGCAGGACCTTTGGTTGTTTTCACAGATACCGCAAAAGTGAATCTGTAATCTGAACTGTCTCTCATTAGCCATCGACCTACGGATGCGTCCTTTAAAAGGTTTTCACTTTGCTGCCGACTGATGCCCTCATGATACCAACCACAAATCTGCAGCAATCTTTTTACTTCGCGTAATCTATTTACATGTACGTCCGGACTCCAGGCAGTCAGTGGCCAGGATACCGGAGTTGTCAATGTTTCATCCACTTGTTCAGTATTATTACAACTCTTGTTGTTTTCTGCGACAATCTGATTCACCATTGCGCAGTCCAATTCGTTCGGTTGCACGAGACCACCTCCGTGAAAGTTATTTCTACCACGACCTGGCAATTTCATCGCTATAACTTGGTTCGGTGGCGTTGTCGTTGTTGCTGTGATGTTTACCGTGCACTGAGCTACCAGATTCGCAGGTAGCTGCACAGTAGCGTTTACTCGGAATTGCACGCTGCTACCGATAGGTTCCAGTAGCAATGAGTCATGATTATCTGCATCAAATATTCGTCTATGATGGTACTGACAATGGTTCTGCTGAAATGTACTTTTGCAATCGCAGCAGTTATTTGTTTTGATCGTGTTCGGTATCTTTCGTGACCTTGATTCAGAACTTATTTCATTATTTTCGTTATCTCTTATCGTCCCAGATGATATGACCCTTATGTTCGCAGGCAATTCTGAATAACCGTTGGGAGATGTAACAAATGTCCGATTATTAACGGCTGCGAAATTTTTTGTACATTTGGATGTCGCCAATCGTTCATCTTCAACGGTTAGTTTCTTCTGCACAAGACAACCGCCGCCGGTAAGTTTTGGTTCAATTTTGATTTGTGAAGTTTGCACCAGAATTTCGGGTTCTGTATGTTGTATTAGACAACCACCTGACTGTATATCAGGTGTAGCAATCGTGACGCTGTCGCCAGTGAGTTCGCATGTAGATGCGGCATATTGCTCCGAAGGTGCCATCTCATAATTAAGATTTTCTGTAATGAAGGGATCTTGATCATTCGATTGATAAATTGGCGATGTTAACAATGGATAGTGATTATGTTTCATCGACGTCTGTATGTCATAGAAGAGTTCCAGTGTATCAGAATCAGTAATTGCGACATTGGAGCCGCAGTTGACTGCACGCGACTGAAAGATGGTGGGTTCCTGAATCTTTGTAGATGGATTTATAAAACAACTGTTGTTGCTGGTGCAGCCATGGGACACTGGGAGACTACTAACATAATAGGTTGCCGTCCTTGAACAGATAGTATTAGCAGCCATCTTCTCTTCCTTTTTATCTTCTTCCTCCTCTTCCTCCTCCTCTTCTTCTTCTTCCTCATCTTCTTCATCTTCTTCAGCTTCTTCATCTTCTTCATCTTCTTCATCTTCTTCCTCTTCTTTACTCTCCTCTTCCTTCCTGATCTCCTCTTTCTCCTTTTCTTTTTTTTCTTTCTTTTCTTCTTCATTTTTTTCCTTTTCCTGTTTCTTCTTTTCTTCTTCCTCCCCTTCCTTCATTTTCTTTTGATTAGTTTCATCATTCCATTTTAAACAGCATCCTAATACAGGAAAATGATGATGGCATTTTGGACACACCATTCTCAACATCATGTTCGTACGCTCGCAAACGAATTACTGCAATCAACATAGCAGTCCGGTCTGAAACAAATAACGAATATTAATTGATATTATAAGTTAATAGCGTAAATAAGGATATAAATAGTAAAATTATTAAATTATTTGTACATGTTTGTATGATTATGATTTACAAAAAATATTGTATAGGTATTTTTGACAAAAATATTTTACGACAACAATCCTTTATCAAAAGACGGTCATAAATCATAAGCGTTTAAAAAATTGTTAAAAAATATTTATGCTGTAGAGTCGTATATTAACTTTTACATTCGATTTTCCACTTTTATTTTCAATTGCTGCCAATCATCGTTTCTTGGGGGGGAAAAAAAGAAACGAAGAAAGGTATAAGATTTATCGAGATCAAATTTCAAATTTCTATATTCAATTTTCTCAAAAAGAAAAAAAAACATATTCTATTCGATTTTTATTGTGTAGAATCATTTCCTTCTCAGGGAGAAATCAATATAATGGCTAGATCTATACATAATATTCTCATGAATTGAACTAGTTAATGTCAATAAAAATGTATTTTTAATCGTTAAGTTTAATATATAGGATTGTACACTAATGGAAACTTCTGCTCTGTATGTCGAAATAGGAGTTCTTAGAAAAACATTTTTGGCAAGAATCAGTGCGGCAGACGATAACGACGGCACCGCATAGCGTGACGTCTACTTCGTGGAATATAGTCTGAAAATTTGACGCGCTCCTACATTTACCCCCGAGCCACTTCTATGTCACTCTATTTTCACCAATTGGTGAACGCTTCTTCGAAGAAGCGCCTATGTTCGTCAGATATATTACGCAATCCGACTTGATAACAAAATTAGATCGCATATATATTTTAATCTCATAGATAATCAATGACGTTACATATTTCGAAAACTAATAATATTAAGCATAAAATCAATTGCGAATAGAATTATCTTTGAAACTTAAAATATTTTAAATAGTAGGGAAAAAAACTATTTTCTTTTTATTCTAAAATAAGTTATTTTCGTTTAAATAAATTATATTGCTTTTTTCTTAAAAAAAAAAAAACTTTTTAATAGAGAAATAATTTTCAATTTTATAAATTTGTTAAGCAATCTAGAAATATTTTTTTTAAATGAAAATAATGTAAATTTTATACATATAAATATAAATTTTTTACTTCATATATTTAAACTATATATATATATATGTATAACAATAAATAATTTAAATTCACATATAAGATTTATATTATTTTTACCCCAAAAAAAGATGCTTCTAGATTATTTAATAAAATTGTAAAACTAAAAATTACTTTTCCATAAGAAATTTTTTTTTATAGAAAAAATCAATATAATTTATGTAAAAAAATGAGAATAATTTATTTTAGAGTGAAAAGAAAATAATTATTCTCACTATTATTTGGAATGCTTTAAGTTTTAAGAATAATAGAAAGATGTACATGTATGTGTAATAATAAATAATTTATATTCATATATCTTTTCTGACACAATTGTATAGGTGTTACACACAGATTATATATTTTTATTCACATTAGAATGATTTAATGACGTTTATCATGACTTTTTTAACAATGTAAAAATAATAAAATTATTTAGTTACAGAAAAATATACTTTTTTATAATAGAGTGATAATATGCACACATATATAAGTACAATGAAATAAGTTCATTTAATTATCAACTAACATATGGAAATGTTAATTGTTTTTTTGTAGAATTAAAAAATTTCTGGAATAATTTAATTTAAAGGAAATTTTTAAAATAATGTAATAAAGCAAAAATAAAAAAACATTTTTTTAAGTACGCTACATTATTATTCATAATACCTTACCAAAAAATATGTAGCTTCGTTACTTCTTTAAAATATTTTATCCAAATATGTATGAATGTAGTTCAATGACATTTGTTCTTCCCTTCCTTCAAGTATCAATAAGGTTCTGTCAAAAATTGCCACTCCTGAGTAAATTTTCGTAACTGTCAAGTGAGTTCAGGAATAATTGAATTGATTTTATCAATTGTTTCAACCATCAACATAAAAATATTTTAGTAACAAACATATAAGGTAATAATTAAATTTATGATCTTTTTATTAGATGCATTATAAGTATATATTTACACAATAATATTGCATTGCTGTCAAACAACATTTTTTTCCATATGTTCCATATATAGTTTTATTGTCTGTATAAACAGATATAATCGAACACTACTCGAATAATAATTTGAAGAATAACAATAGAAGTGCAACATTTAAAAATCGAATATTATCATGTAATATATAAATTATATACATAAAACTATAAATCAGAATAAAATAAATTATAAAATTAATATTGTATCATGAACTAACCATTCAAATTGGCAGTGAAGTAAACTTTTATAAAACGTCGGTCTATGATAGTATTTTGTCGATGTCACGAGTAAAAATGCAATTACTTGGAACACTCATATAATCTCACGAAATAATCAATTCAACTGTTTCAACTAAAACCTTTTATGCAATAGAGTTGTACTTGACGTTCGAAAGAAAGGTGTTTCGGATTTTGTGAGATTTACAATAAGGCAATATGTCTCTCGAATCGTATACGCGAATATATACTTTAATATACTTCAATCGGACTCATTTACTAATGCTCACACGTCAAAGAATGAAATTTAACATATATAACTTAACCTAAACTTAACGTACTCGATAACGCAACGACCGGAAAACGGGAAAACACTAGCTTTCCTCGTATTCGCGGACAAACGATCACGAAAGACTGGAACTAAAGAGATTCAACAACTTGCATGAAGAGTACAGTCTTCATGACCAATAAGATAACAGGCCTGTTGTTTTTGGCTGAACTTTTGCACCAGTTCATCTTTCTTCCTCTTCTTTCCTCCTGGAGAGAAAAGGAAAAAAGATAAACTGGTGCAAAAGTTCAGCTAAAAAGAACAGGCCTAATGTTATTTACGTGCGACGTTGCGCAACGATACGATGCATCTAGCATCTACTAGAGTCCTATATATAAAGAGAAGCGACATCGAACCCCCACCACCAAGATCGGATCCCTACCATCACTCCTTAGGCCGGAATCAGACTATGCATTGAAGATTGAGATTGAAGATTGAAGATTAAAATTTGACCAGTGAGGACAAAGGAATTTTAGCTCCTATTGTTTTGATTGGTCAAATTTCAATCTTTCAATCTTCAATCTCAATATTCAATGCGTAGTCTGATTCCGGTCTTACGCCGCGACCGCCATGTTTCGACCGCTCCAGTGTCGTAAACATAAACATATGCTGGATTCACCCTGCATCCGATTTTCGTCATACGACGCTTTGCATCCAATCAGAAAACAGGATTCTGATAATACGAAGCAAAATTCATCGGAATCCTGTTTTCTGATTGGTTGCAGAGCGTCGTACGACGAAAATCGGATGCAGTGT